CAGAATAAAATAGGATAGAATTATTATCTTTATAAGGACAATTTTAAGATTTTTAAGGGTTTATACATGTATAATCGATAACAAAGTTTTTTTTTTAAATACAAAAAAATTGTCAACAGAAAAATTAACAGTGTTAACATACATGTATGCCCTAAAACACAAAATGTCTTAGTCAACTGATTTTGTAAAATTTCTATTTTTAGTATCAAAAAGAGAAAAAAAGCTGGTCTAACGGTACAGTTATGCCATACATGTATGCATTGCCCATTTCTGTTTCTCTGGCATTCGTTAGTCAATTGTTTGGCTGTATCTGCTTGGTTGTCTCTATGCCCCAAAATGCTTGATCTGGCGGTAAAATGAATTTGTCATGTCGCAGTTACATACAGGTTTTGTATATTGTCTACAGAAATAGCCGCTAATTTGAATTATTTCCATGGTAATATTACATCATGTCATTTTTGTGTGTGTAAAGCCATAGTCCCGCTGAGGTAAAGCCAGAATCAGAAATCGTAGGTTTCACATCACCATTGGAATGTATATCTAGGTGCTGGGTCACATAGGCATTAATGTAATCTTTCTATTTTTGCAAGGGATGGCATACTCAACTATTTTATTTAATGCAAAACCAGAATAAGCAAGCTTTTGAAATGACAAACTGAAGATACATTCAGAACTCTGTGTCAACCTTTCCTACATTTCACATACCAGTGTAGGTCAATCAACTTAATTTTTTTGACTTTCAACCACAGACACGTATGAATTAGCATATTTCAGAATTGCTACACATGTACATATACATGTACATGGAAACTTGCCCTACTCCTAGTCATTGATTTCAACACTTGGCTGAAATTCTCAGAAATGTTACCTTCAATTAATATTGTCCTTTCATCAACACTCTTTGTTGATATTACTACAAAGACGTATACATGTACTAGTAATTTAAAATTTGCCCACTCATTTATGTGTCAAAAAATATAAGTGGTGTATTTTAACAGATATTTGAGTCCATCCATGCGCCGATAGTAATTTTGGCCCCAAGGAAGCCATATAATGGCTTATGCTTCATTTTAACTGAGAATAATCTCGTTTTACCTCCATGGAATAATCAAAAACTCCACACCCTGGTTGGGAGAACCCTATCTCTCCCACTTGGTGGCGCCGCTGAATTGCAGTGCTACCTCTTGCAGTTTTTTTCTAGAAAAACCCATGGACTGTATCACTGTGGATGAACTCAAATGATCAAAATCACTGGTATTATTTTATTATCCTAGAGCAAAATCGACAACACCAGTATTTTTCACATCGAAATGAACAACACTGGTATCTTGCACAAGTAGATTTAGGCAATTTGGTAGCAGATGAGTTTGTATTATCACGGACGTACTAAACACGTGTTATTACGACCGTGATATCATGAACATCATACTTTACCTGCTCCACAACTCAGTCACCATTGTAACTTCTTTAAAAAATAATAATTGATCAAATATGATAAGCTCGTTCGACTAAAGTTACTGAATTTCATCTCTCCCATTTCCAAGCACCATTGTCAGCATTTGCCACGTAGTTCTCTGTGACATGGTCTATAGGAACTGTCTTTCAGTTGTCACAATTTTAATCGAGTCGACTGTGAGTAACGACGACGATCAAAGTTATGAATGTATGGAGATCGGGAGTGTGGATTACGTAAACAGCACGTGCCGACACAGATACTTTACATATTCCGTAGCGTGTTGATAGATGTTGGTTAAACTGTGCTGTCCGGCGTTATCAAAGAATTACAATCACCTCGACCGTGGGCTGGCAACAGCTTTCGCTCAGTAAATAAAGCACGAACCAACTAACAGGTCATAGGCTGCAAAAGCTACCTAGCTTATTAAGTATTAGAGGCATATTTATCTTTCTTTATATTTTTCACGCAGATTCATACTGTATTCTATGTAGAGAATACGAAATTAATAATTCGGTAATTCACTGAAATTTTAATGAAAATTGTAAAACATTAAGATCAATAATTTGCACGGTTTCATTATACAGATAAAATGTGGGGACGACAAGCGAGCTGAGGGTTCCACAGGAAGTGACTATTTCCCGATTGATTGATTAAAGTGAAAAGCACGTTGTACATTTAATACAACACAATACACGGCAACGTGAGGACGGAGTACTACTACTAGCAGTGTTTATACTTGATCATTGGTGAAACGCAGCGACTTGAAAATGGTAGGTATTCATGCTATATGGTTTCCCGTGTGACTTCAACCACGATAAACAACGTCGGTCGTTTGATATTTTACTGCACGCGGTGGTAATAATATTATATAACCAAACATTGAAAGCTTTCTCGTATGTCGATGTTGGTATTATGACGTAAAAAAAGCTCGACGACTCGTGTTTACGTCAGTTTGTCAACGACCACATGGAGGATTTCCTGTGCTGGTTATTGCGCCCTCTGTTTTCTCATGGGAGTGTAGGAGGAGGAGCTTCGATTCAGTGCGACAATGAAAAGTTTTACCTAACGCCCCTACTGTCATTCATACGCTGTTATGTTGCGCCACGGTCTGTTTCTGTTCTATTTATAGTATTAAAGCGAATTAAAATTGATAGGTCAGGGTTATTGTGGGGCCAATTTGACAATAAGTCCGTCAAGATTAGACGCGAACTTAGGTGACCCCAATCTGGTAGATTGGCTAGCTTCGATCTATAATCGTAGTTTCGGTGAGGCCATCAAAAGAATAACACAATGAAGGCCCATTCTGTATGCAAATAAGGGAGTGAAGGAAATACGATTTGTCATTCATGACGTGAGTTATAGTGATAACTTGGTAGCGTAGGTATTTGTGCACACTTGTGGGCTTTACTACCATCACCACCACCATGGGAGCTAACGAGTCCGTGCCCGATGATGAAAACAAATCCGCCGAAAATCATGACAAAAAAACAAGTGTTGGTAAAAATAAGAAGAGCGGAACGAGTGGTAATGTCAAGCAGAAAAAGGTACATGTAACAGTACGGGAACAAGTTAAAGAATCGTACGGATTTTTTTTTTTTTTTTTGCAGTGTTAGTTGATGCTCATGTACTTTGGCCGGTATGTTAAATAATACTACAAATGTAATCGCGTGTGTCAGTTAATATATTTGTTTTAAGATTTCCTTCAAACGTCTGTCTTATAATGCAGTGAGGTTTTAACTATTATGTTGGTGTACTTTCTTTTTGAATGAGTTAAATAGGATCCCCATTAAGCCACGTTTTTGAAATTCAAATACATCATCACTATAGGGAAGTCAGACACTGAGTTATAATGGGGGAAGGTTTGACGCATGTTAAAATACTGGTGCCTCCAATTATTCAATGTGCATACAATGAGATTGTTTTCATTTTCTCATGAGGTAATTGTTTAATAACATTGTAAATGATTGTTTTTAAGATGCCAACATGTGGGATGTTTGTGTGTGTGTGTGTGTGTGTGTGTGTGTCAAGTATGAATACTAATTTATATTTTCATTATATTTAATTTATAATTATGTTTTTGCTTATTACACTACAGCACAGTTGAGGGACTGTGACTACAGTTTATCGTACAAGTGTTACTCATTCTCAGTTTTAGATTAGGGATTAATCAAATTTTTTATTTTGTTTCTGAACATATGAATCCATACCCCAGGCACCCTGATTTGTTAAGAACAACTTTTGTGCAATATAAAATCTGAATGAGTGGAGTTGAAACAAAGAGATGATCGTGAAACTTAATTGTAATCTGACTGTGTGGCAGGAAGTAAAACACACTAGCTTCTGATAGATAAATGTTTGCATAATTACACACCAATGTTTACTCTATTTGTTTTGTATAGTTTATCCTTCACTAAAGCATGACTAAAGTAAAGACATGTTTTGTTCAAATATTTATTTATTTTGGAGTTAAAAATTTTAAACTCAGAAGGAAAGTCCAAATTTGTTTTTCTTCTCTTGAGCTATCTTCTTTTCAGAATGGTGTTACTGCAATTTTTTGTTTTGCTTTCTTCTGTCAAATATATGTGAATTTTTTTTTAATGAATTTATTCCACCATGAGAGTTTCTAATGTTCAACTCCTTTATGAAATTTTTTTTCTCTCTTTTCTGGATTTCAGCCGGGAAAAAAAACAAAGTTTATCGACAAAAAGAAGGCCATCACATTTCAGGTTGTTCATCGGAGTCAGAAAGATCCCTTACAGGCTGATGATGAAAGTTCACAGCACGTACTCAGACCGCTAGAAGAGGTAAGTAACGCCATGTGTATCACAGTTTGTTTTGCAGCTTTGTTGATGAAAAACGTCTTGTCATTATTTGGTATTAACGTCAGCTTTACTATGACAGCTGGGTAATAGAAGTGATCGCTCAATAATTATTAATGGATTAATGTAGCTTTCCACATCAGTGAATTTTAAAGTTAAAAATTACCTATCTGCTCTTTAAATTCAGTAATTTAGGCAGAGAAGAACCTGTCTGATTAATATAGTTTATAATTTATCAATTCTTTAATAACATTAATGGAGGAATTTACAAATGATTTGATAAAGGTAATCCATGGTTGATAAAAGTGGAACATTAGTGAAATTAATTAAAATTATTGCAATAAATTAAAAATCTGTAATAAACATGTTGGCTGATTTAATTATTATATTTAGTATAAAAGTGGTTGTTAGTTAATATTGATTAATATAGTTAATACATACGATAATAATTGACGAGAATTAAACATGATTATTGGAATGCTGCA